ACATCTAGAAAGCCAATTCTCAAAGCCGTTTACGAACAAAAAATGAAAAGGCTTTTGCCAAACGACTCTTCAGCGACCATAGACTGGGATTAAATCATTTGTACAGTAAATCCACCGAAAGGAACAGTGCCATATACATTTCATCTTATTGGACAACAGAATAGTAGTCTAGCTCAGCATTTTGTGTATTGAATTTTGCTCGCATTAATTTATCTCAGATTAGGCTGTATTGAAATGGTTCGTAATTATGTAAGAAAAAGGGTTCAAACTTATTCAAACGTAGACATTGGCGAAGCTATTAAATCAATTAAAGATGATAAAATGACTATTAATGAAGCATCAGCGAAATATAACGTACCGATTAGTACGTTATACAATCGTCTATCAGGACACAATGGCTCTAGTCTACGTGGTGGCACAACAATATTGAGTAAAGAAGAAGAGTCTCATCTGGTTTATGTGATAAAAACAATGCAAGATTATAATCATCCTGTATCAAATTCAAACGTACGCACAATAGCTCGGCGGTGTACGACAGAATTAAAGAAAGATATTCCAGATAATGGTCCAGGAAAAGATTGGTTTTACGGTTTTATGAGGAGATGATCATCCGAGTTAAAGATAATGAAAAGTATGAAACTTGAAAAAGCACGCAATGATGCATTGCCCGTTCAAGTTCTCGATAGTTGGTTTAACAAGTGGTATATAATGTTAAAAAAACTCGATTTATTCGATAAACTGATAAACATATTTAACTGTGATGAAAGTGGATTGTCAGATGACCCAGACATCTGAGATTTCTACTAGTAGAAAGCCAATTCTTCAATTTCAAGTCAAAGTACTAACTTACTTAGAGTACAACTGAGGGTTGAAGCCGATGGTGATCTTCTTAACCGACGATATTCAATTAGATCATTGTGCATCATTCCCTTATCATCCACTGTTCGATTATCATCTGCTATTTCTTTTATTTGATCCTCGAATTTGATAAGGCCGATGTCTACGCTTATGACAAACAGCCTATACTTTCAGAAAAACTATCGTATTCAACGCTGGCGTTGAATTGAATACCATTGAATAGTCAATAGAATTTAACAACGACATTAACGACTGAATATCTGGTACCTGTTGCATTTGAGAATCAAATAAAAGAAATAGCAGATGATAATCGAACAGTGGATGATAAGGGAATGATACACAATGATCTAATTGAATATCGTCGGTTGTCATACAAAGAGTTAATAAATGCTCTCCACGAGTTATGAATGCCATTATTAAAAAAACCGTAGTCGGCATTGCGAGAAACTAATAGTTATGAAGATACGTCGAATAGTGAGTAAATCTCATTCTTGATTATGTTTAACCACTAATCTTTGATTATTTGATTGTTGTACAACAGTTATTTTTTGATGCGTGATAAAAATGTTTGAAAAACGAGGTCTTTGAATGTCTGTTTTGAACCAGTTTAGGTCAGAATATTGTTGTATAATGGTATTAAGTCAAAAAGCAAAAAAATGTGCTAAGTCTGATCAAGTCCTTTGGAAGGTTCCCCTATAGTAGTCTTGAACGTTTTTACATTTGTGAGTAGAGCGAAGTCTTGTGAGTCTTATGGTAGTTCTTTTATAAAATCTGGATCAAAAGTGACTGAGTTATAAAGAATTGAAAATGAAGAGCGAGGAGCAGTAAGATTAAATAATGAAATGAAGTAGAGAACTGCTGAGAAGATCATGATTCATTCAAATCACAGATTTATTTTCACAATATTTCGACAGTCACTGCTGCCATT